CGGAACGACAGCGCTGCTTTCGGATTGCAAGTGGACAGGCAGGTGGCGGGGAATCGCTAAGTCCATGGCCGAGTGACATCACCAAGCCCTGGGGCTGCTCTGTCATTCCATTGCACCGTCCTACTTTGTCACCTCAGCCTTGGTATGGCTTCCTTCTTTGGTGACCAAAGGTGGCCACACTTCCAGGTGGACTCCAACTGACTCTGCCTTTTCTGCCCCTTGCTTCTGAACCCTGGCCCACAGGAGGCTTGGTCCCACAGGAGGCTTGGCCTCTCCTGTGGGTGTGACTCACACTATGCTTTCTGCTGGAGTGTGGGGTTCTTTGTCCAGGAGCTGGCCATGGATGCAGCCTCAGTCCTAGGACACTGGCCCAAACCTCTTGGAGACAGGCACATGTCAGAGAGCATCAAAGACGATTTGCTTGAAGACAACACACAGGGTCAGGAGTCCCTGCAGCATTCTTATTTTGCTCTACCTGTGACTATTTTTCCTTCCAACATATTCACACACTTACTGAGAGCTAGTGGGAATTCAGGAGAATGGTGTCTGGGCATCACCAATTTGAGCTACAAGGCCTAGCAGCTAAGCTAAACTCTATTTACCCATGGGACGTGAGGAACAGGGAGTGGCCAGGCTTGTGGAGATCGGGACATGGAAGCCACGTCCCCACCAAAACTGCAGTGCATGGACAGTAAACCTTCACTGGCCTCCTGGAGGTCTGAGAACAGAGTTCGTGTTGGTTTCCTGTTGCTGTTGTGAATGTATCATCACAAGCAGCTAAACTCAAGAGATTTAGCAAGCGCTGCACCATGACAGGCCTCCCTCTAACCCTGAGCAAAGCTTGAAGCATTTCAGTATACAAAGAATGAGCTTTAGATCCTGGAGCCCATTGTTTTACACCCAGTGATTGCTCAGTGCACTCTGCCTCTTAGTCCTGGGGCTCACACTCCTGAAGTGTCTCCTCATCTTGGCTGGCAGAGTTCCCTATGCTCAGGCCCCATGCTGGGCACCACCTGCAGCCACCTGTGGAGCCAGTGGGGTCCTGTGAGGGAGCAATGGGGGATTAAGAAAAAAAAAGACACATAGAAAAAAGTTGGGACCAGGTGGGCCCTGACCTCTCTGATGGAGAGGCAGGGACAACCCAGCATGGTCTATGTCTTTATTTATACACAGTAAAAGTGGGGAAAGCATGCAACAAGGCTGAAAGGGCAAGGTCTCAGTGTTTTGCTGAGAACACTGAAAGTGAAACATTCTCAGAGTTATCCGTGCTGTAATTCACAGGGAGGAGCACCAAGGCTGGACACCTGTTGATAAGCCACTGAGCTAGAGGTCAGCTTGTTTATGTGGACTTCTCTGGCAGCCTGTGTTCTTGGGGCTGGCCTTGCTGTAGCCCCAAATGTGTGGTTGATCTCTGGCTCAGCCGCTCCCCACAGTCTTACATCTGAGAGGACACTTTGGACTTGGTCTTTTCAGCAGGGCTGAAACTGTTAGGATTTTGGTAACTCTTGGAGATGGACTAAATGCCTTTTGTATAAAGGGATGTACATGAGCCTTTGGGGGGCCAGGGCAGAATGTTATGGTTTGTGTCTAGATGTCCCACAAAGCCTTTTGCAGTTTTAGATGGTGTTTTTTGGAGGTGGCTAAATCTCGAGTGTGATTGATTCATGATGCAGTGCTAGGATTAAAGGTGCTGGGATTAAGGGTGGGTGAGTGCTGCATCAGTCCTCTGACTGGACTGGCACCGCCCTAACCCCACTGGACTGGATATGATGTAAGGGACAGAAAGAAGTTTATCTCTTTCGCTCGTTGCTTTTGCTGCCTTATGGGGGCCTGGACTGTTTGTCCTCTGCGATGTCCCTCGACCAAGCCACCCTGTCTCACAGCCAGCCAGTCATGGACTGAGCCTCTACAGACTGTGAGCCAAATAAACTTTTTCCCCTTTAACTTTGGCTGTCAGGTATTTTGTCTCAGTCCCAACAAAAGTGACTAAGACAAGGGCTGATGTGTGAAACAGCAGCCACTGCGCTGCTCCTGTGAGAGGTTGCAGGAGGACCTACCCTGTCCCCTTGCCTTCTGCAAGGAGGCAGGTTGTTTGCTGTCCTTGGCTGCTGGTCCCAGCCCACCTTTTATTTGCCAACACTGAATGCAATTATTTGTTTGAAAATGATTGGAAATTACTCTCATTTGGTAAAATTAGTATGCGGTCTCTGTCTTGAGACTCTGTGGGGTCTCTGCTTTGCTGACTTTTTTGTTTACTTATTTTTCTTCCCTCTTATGTCACTGTGGCCCCTTGCTTCCTCAGCCCTCTGGGACTGTCCCAGTACTGCTGTGTTCATGTTGGGCCAACTGCATAACCCAGGTGGTTCCCTTGTTTCAGAACCTTCAGTCCAATCCTGGCTGCCAACTCCCTCTGGCCGCTGCAGGTGCCGTGTTGACAGGTCCCAGGGCTTGGGCTGTGGGCATCTTGGGGCCTCTGTTCATTACTCAGCTCCACAGCAAGGGGCCCTCTAAGTGGCCAGGGTCACCTGAGCTCACCTAAGGGAAGGCCTTGGAGTGGCCCGGGATGGACAGGGGCCGGGGACCTCCTCCGGGGTGATAGGGCAAGGGCCAGAGAAGGTGGTTTCTGTAGAACTCTTTTGGGGCCAGGCTGCTGAGGACTCCCTGAGGGCTCTGTCCTAGTCTGGATGCCGGGGTGGCCAAAGAGCTCTCACCCACTGGCAAGGGTGGGACCTGTGGTCCATCTGAGGCCTCTAGGGTGGAGCATGACCACATCAGAGCTCAGCTTGGGGCCAAGGTGAGAGGATGGGATCTGAACCAGTGTCCTGGGGTGAGTCCTTGGAGCTAAGAAGTGGGAGGAAGTGGGAGTGGCGGTGCATGCTGGAATCCCAGCACTCTGGGAGGCTGAGGCAGGAGGATCACAAGTTCCTAGCCTGGGCAACTTAGTGACTTAAGGAGACCCTGCCTCAAAATAAAAACAAAAAATAAAAAGGGCTTGGTGTTGTAGTTTAGTTCCACCCAAGTACCACACATGTACACACATACAGTGAGAGGAAGTTTGGTGGGGTGTGGCTACAGGTGGGTTGGCTTGCATGTGTCCCCAAGCATTCCTGTGCTGACCCCGAGTCTCCAATGTGAAGCATGGAGGGAGGTTAGCATTGGGGTGGGGCCCTCATGACTAATTCTAGTGGCTTTATGAGAGGGACCATACACTGTCTGAGCCTGGGGAGGCCACCAAGGCATCCCTCAGCCTTGGAATAAACCATGAGCCCAAATAAACCTCTTTCAAATAAAGTTAGCCATCCTCAGGCATTGCGTTACAGTGGTGAGAACCAGACTAACACAGGTTTTGCGTGCTTAGGGGTTTGGGGTGTATGGGGCTGGGAGCCAGGGCGGCAGTCCAGACGTATAACGAGCACACAGGACTTGTGGTGGGGGCTGGTCCCAGGCAGCCTTGTGGGGCCAAGTGTACACGCCAGGTGCCCTGGTCAGAATGCAGCAAAGTTGCGGCTGGGCTTTGCAGGCCGGGGTCAGGAAGAGACGAAAAACCCCCAGTCTACAAAAGTGGGCAAGACCCGGTGTCTGTCCCGACCTCAGACCTGTCCTCTGCTGTAGGCTGGTGAGGAGGAGGAGCAGCAGCCAGGGCCCACGGTCCTCAGGCACTGACGGAGTCCTCAGAGCGCATGGTATTGGCACCCGAGGGAAGACAGTCTCCAAGGCTCCGGAAGGGTGGGCAGCAGTGGTTTCCCTGTCGGTCCTGAGCTTGGTCCTGAGCATTCTGTCAGAGCTGCCATCACTCTCCCCAGCCACCTTCGGGCCACCGCCCGACAAACAGCCCGACTTACCCCAGCCAGTCCCACCTGGCAAACAGGGCGCACAGCTGGATGGGCATGGCTATCTCGGGGGACGAGGCACCAGGACAGGTGGCAGCCAGCAGAGCGGCAGGCCCCAGTGCTGCATCTGTGGGTGCTGATGGGCCACCTGTTCCTGAGACACCCGCTCCTGAAGACCCGTTGGCTTTGTGCACTCCCAAGCAGAGCCCCAACCTGCTTTCCTCTTCCTCCACAGCTACTCCAGCAGGAAGGAGGAGAAACGGGGCCCTGGGGAGCAGGAGCTGGTCTCCTAGAGAGGGGTGGGCACCCCCATTCCTGGTGCTGTTGTCTGGGTTCTAACCTTGCTCCCACAGTCCACAGGATATGCAAACCTAGGCAGTTAAGAGGCCGCTCTGTGCCTTGATTTCCTTATCTGCAGAGCAGGAAGTGAAACCATTTTCTCAGGAAGTTCTACGGGACAGGAGAGGACTTAACCTGTGGCTGGGGGCCAGGTCCCTCACCTCCCTGGCGTCATCCAGTGGTAGCCCTGGGGGGTGGCTGGTAGAGGAGGGAGCCAGCCACAGAGCAGAGGTGGCAGCTGGCTGGGTCTGGACCCTGTGGTCACCTGGGGACTCAGAGTCCCCGGCTGCGATGGCCTGAGTCACAGCTGTGGCTTGCTTCCTCCCTGACTCTCACAGAGGGTAAGGAGCCTGAAACCAACCTCTGACTGGCTGTGTACAGTTTGCTGTCCTGTCTGTTTCTGGGAGGGGGTGGATATGCAGCTTTTAGCTAAAACTCTCAGAAATATTTGAATAAGTTAGAGGGGAAGGGAAGAAGGGGCCGAAGTAAGAGAGACTTTTCTTTTTCATCTTACAGTACTGGGGATCGAATGCAGGGCCTTAGCATCCTGAGCCCCTTTTTATTTTTTATTTTGAGACAAGTTCTTTCTAAGTTGCCAAGGTTGGGTTTGGAACTTGCAGTCCTTCTGCCTCAGCCTCCCAGAGCACTGGGACTCCAAGTATGTGCCCCACCCTGGGCAAGACAGACTTTTGTAAAGTGCTGGGGTGAACTGCGGGAAATAGGAGGGTGAGGTGGGGAGGAGGCAGAGGTGGGGGCCGCACTCGGTGACTCCCAGCGGAAGTCCGTGGCCTCTGAGGGGTGATTTCACTCAAGACGTGCACAGCCAGACTTTAACTATGTGGGCTTGGGCAGTGCTCCCCGGGACACAGACCCCCTGTGGCGTCCCCCTCCCAGTACAAGGCCTGGGCCCACAGGCACCTCGGTCCTCAGAGTCCGTTTTTCTCCTGTGTGGCACCCTGGAGTGGCACCATCTGCTTCTGCTGCTCCTGCTGTGGCTGCCTCAGTCTGCCTGCCCTCCTGAGGTGGGGGAAGCAGATCTCTGAGTGTGTGTCCAGGCAGGAGAGTGGGGTGGGCTGCAGGGTGGGAGGCAGACCTGCCCCGGCCCTACCTGCTGTCCAGGTCCTGCACAGTGTCGGGCAGCGGCCGGCCCCGTGTCTCGGGCAGCAGGGCTGTGGCGGCGCTGGCGGCCACAGGTATGGCGCCGAAGATGAAGAGAGGCGCAGTGGGGTAGAGCTCGGCCGTCATGCTCACCAGGGGACTCACGATGCTGCCCACCCGGGCCACGGTGCTGCCCATGCCCAAGCCCGTCTGCCTGTGGGTTGGGGGTCAAGGCATTTGCCACAGCCAGGACACGGCTCCAACCCTAACTTGTGCCACCACCCTTCCCTTATATGGGCACTTGGACCTTTTTTTGGTGACTTTAAAGAGGAAATCAGGAATCTTGAGACTGGATTTTGCCTCTGCCCTTAACTGGCTGTGTGACCTCGGGCAAGTCCCTTTCCCCCTGTGGGCCTGAGTTTCCTGAGCTGTCAAATGGGAGGTTTGTTGAGAAGGTGAGGTCAGTGGCCATCAGGTCACCTGACAGAGTGATGCCTGGAGTTTCACGGCCCCAGCCCCACACAGAACCACCGGATGGGGTCCCCCTGAAGGCCGAGGGTTCTGCCCATTAGGAATATATGAGGAGGGTTTGCAGGGAGCAGAGGGCAAGACGTGGCCTCAGATGTGACCTGTGTGGGGCTCCAGTGCTGGCTCCCCGGCTCCCTGGCTGTGTGGTCTTGGAGACGTCACCTGACCTTCCTGCTGTGTTCATGAAATGGGAACAGTGTGGTGTCTGCCTGCTGGCTCCTTGTGAAGACAGGTGAGTTAGCCCCGGGCAACGTGCACGACGCGCCTCGCACAGGCGAGCACTGCACACCAGCGCTCTCTCCTAGATCTCGCAAGGACGCAGCATCTGGGACTCCCAGCTCCTCAGCCAAGTGGCTAAGGGAAGCCTGGCATTTCTTTGACACCTCGGTGAGTTTTGCATCTGGCTCTTAAAATAGACACATTTCTTAACGGCCTCATCTGTAGGCTCCAGAGAGCTGGTGACGTTTCTGTAGCCCTTTTGATCAGTGCTGCTCCTGTGGCTGGGAGGACATTCGTGTTCATGTCTTTGGTTACACACACTTGGCTTAAGATGGAGCTCTGAGTGGCAGCAGCTTCTATCTTGGGTTCTGGGGCCCCTCAGTCTGCCTCTGAGACGTGTCTCTGTGCTCTCCTCCTTGCCTTGGCTGGGGACCCTGAAGATCTGGGGCCAGGGGTCTGCACTGCACTTGCCACGGGTGCAGGGTCTGACCTTGTGCAGGATGAAGTCTCCCCTCAGCCCCGCACCCTGTTCTACTCACCGGATTATGGTGGGGTACAGCTCCCCCGTGTACAGGAAGATACAGTTGAAGGAGGAGGCCAAGCACCCTTTCCCCAGCACGGCGAGGGAGGTGCGGACGATTGTCTGGTCTGGGGAGAAAGGAGAGGATAGGCTGGGAGTGGGGCTGGGAGAAGGAGGGCCGTGTCCAGGATGGGCCAAGTTGTGGTGCTCACCCCGGGGTATCACTGCATTCATCAGGATGCAGATGCCTGCCAGTAGGAGGGAGGCTGCCTGCGCTGGCTTGCGGCCCAGGGAATTGATGACCAGGAAGCACACGAGCTTGGCAGGCAGATCTACGGCCCCGAAGATCACCTGGATCAGGTAGATGCTGACCCCGAAGCCCTGCAAGTCCATGACCAGTCCATAGTAGGCAAAGCTGGTGGCAAACCTAGCAGGGGTGGGAGGGGCTGGTTAGGAGTCTTAAGGAGGGGAGGGAAGAAATAGGGTGATTTTAACTGTACACATAGCTGCTCACTTGAGCAACGGGGTGGCCCCCAGCACCCTGAGCCCCCGCCACCTGATAACCAGGTCTTTGTGTGCCCCGCATTTGTGCAGTCACTGTACGAGGATCGTGTGGTTTCTGTCTTTATCTTATCTGCTAATGCTGGGCTGAGGGAGGACAGGTCAATGTCCAGGCCACACTTCAGGGCCAAGTGCTGGGGCGGGGCAGGGTGCCTGGGACCTGTCTGTGGGTGTTCTATGAAGACATCCAGAGCTAACAAAGTAGAACAGAGGTTTTGGACAGAATTCACGACTGAGGGAACCCTGGCTGGAGGTTGCTCCTTCTCACGAGGGACTGTAGTGACAGAGAGAGGGTGGGAGTGTGGACAGCATGGGTTCTCTGGGGCCTGTGGTCTTGGGCCAGCCTGTCCTCAAGACGGCACTGGTCCTCTTCTGTCTGTTTCTGGCAGTAGCCGGGACCCAGTTACCCTGGGCCCTTGCAGGACCCCATGGTCTCTGCTCTGCCACACTGGAGCATCTGGCGCTGATGAGATTGGGGCAGAGCTGGTGAGGGACCGAAACCAAGTCGGGGCTGCAGGGCATTTGGCCTGGGATGTCTCTGGGTGGTGGCCACCCCCCATAGTAGGCCTGTGGGCCTTTCCTCCCTTTCCTGGCATCTACCCACCAGCTCTATCCCTAGGGTAGTTGGCCCCCAGTGAGTCAGTGTATCTGTGTCTGCACCCGGCCTACCACAGCATGGAGAGGCAGAGGAAGAGGTGGCGGAGGGGAGGGCAGCGCAGCAGGTCCATGGCGGAGGCCTGGCCTTTGCCCAGGGTCAGTTCCTTCTGCAGACTGGTCCGAAGCACCTGAGGGTAGGCGGGGCTCAGGCCTCTTGCAGTGACCTGGAGAAGCCCCAGGCTCTGATCTTAGAGGTCTGGGGTCCTCACCTCCATACTCAGCTTGGCTCCTTCTGCCTGCTTCCCGTTGATTCGAGCCACTCTCTGCAGGGTGCTCAGTGTGAGGTCCAGCCTCCCACGGGAGGAGAGCCAGCGAGCAGACTCGATGAAGAACCTGAGGGTTGGCAGGGTCAGGGGAGGGCATGGGCTGGGGCTGAGCTGGGGCTGGGTTGTGGGAGGTTCACTAGAGTTGGGGTTAGAAGCCTTGCTGTGTCCCTCTTCTGAGGACCTTGGGGCAGGGCCCTGTTCCCAGGGCCAGCTCTGTGCCTGGGGGGCTGGGGACCGGAGTGTGGGTGCCACTGGCTTGGGCAACCTCTGTGTGTACAGTAGTGGGGGCTTGGGGAGGTGGCTGGTCCCTTGCGGCCCCCCAGGGTCCCACAGCACCACTCTCCTGGCCCGCACCAGGAGTACAGGAAGAAGGCGTAGAAGGGCGCGGAGACCAGGAGCTGCAGGTGGCGCCAGTGTGGCACGGCGTAGGCCAGGCCGGCCAGCAGGAACTGGCCCAGGCTGTAGGTGTAGCCCATCAGGGTGCCCACGCAGGCGCGTGTGTGAATGGGCGTCCACTCCACATCTGTGAGAGGACAGCACAGGGCAGGTTCCACACTGGGCATGGGATGGGCAGACCCCAGCCTGGGCTCTCCAGGCGCTGGGGAGAGCAGGGGTGAGGAGAAGAGGGAGTGGGCTGAGGCTGTCTACACCGTGGCCCTGCACCTGCCCCACGCTCCCCTGGTCAGAGGTCCCTGTCCTCAGGATTCCCCATCTCTGTCCTGACAGCAGCCATGCCCTGCTGGTCCCCTCAGTGACGCTTCTCCACTGTGGGACCACCTGCCATGGGGGCTTGAATGTGCTGGGAAGATGGGACCTTGGATGTCCCGTCCCAGCTGAGCCCGGAGCAGCTCTTCTATTCTAGGGGGCCCCAGGTCCTGGGTTCCTTTCTGGGCTAAATCTGTCCCTCTCTCCCCAGCCTCAGATTTCTCATCTGAGAGACCCCGTGTGAGTGTGCGTGTGTGTGCAAGTGCACACGTGTGCACATGCATGGGTGTAGGTGCACGTGTGTGTGAGCTGCCCTGTGGTGCAGGCTCGTGTGACAATTAGAAACATTTCAGCCTTAGAAAGCAGATGTTCTACTTAGATCACACAGGGCACAGAGCTATCCTGGCCCGAGCCGTGGGGTGTGGTGGGGTCTCCCTTGACTCTCCTGCCCCAGGCCGGCCTCAGCCGTGTTGGTGACCTGCGATCTGACAGGGGCGTCTCAGTCACTGCTCTAAATGAGGGTTGGGTGGCCCGGGAGGAGGCAGGCAGGGAGGGGAGGGGCCAGCTCATACTTATCGTCATGGAGTTGATGGCGATGCTGGCCAGGGACATGCCTGAGAGCAACCGGAAGGCACAGTAGAGGGGGAAGTTGGGGGCGTACGCGGCACAGGTCCCCGACACAGCTGTCTGCAGGTAGTTCAGGATCAGCACCTTCCTGCGGCCCAGCCTGGGGGCGGGAAGACCTCAGCAGGGTGGGTGGGGGCTGGGTAAGCCCTGGCTGGGGTGTTGAGGACTCGGGCTGCAATACGAGGCTGTGGGTTTCCAAAGCAGCCCCCTGAGAAGTGGATCCCCCACCCACCCTGTCCCGGGCCAAGCCCTGCACTGACCTGTCTGCCAGATGCCCGAAGGACATGGCGCCCAGCAGAACCCCGACCATGTAGAGGGACTGGGCCAGCTGGCGGAGTGCCCGATGTGAGCACACAAGGTCCCACTGCGGGGGAAAGGTGAGCTCAGGCCGTACCCTCATCCCTGACTCCTCAGCTCCTGGGTCCCAGGTCTGAGGGCTCTGCCTCCAACCCAGGAGCTTCCACGCCTGTGTGCATGTGTGTGTGCATGCACTGTATGGTGTGTCTCTCTGCGTGCATGTGTGTGTGTATGTGTCCCCATCGGGGCACTGTCCTTACCTCTGTCACGATGGTAGATGGGAAAGTGCTATTGTCGTAGACCCAGCCGTCCACGCAGGGTTCTGTGGGCTCTGTGAGGTTGGTTGTGGTGTTGGTGGTGAGGGGTGGTCCCTGCCGTGGGGTGGCAAAGCGCAGGCAGGATTCAGGTCGCCCCTGTGGATCCTGGGGCAGCCAGGACCCCAGATCCCCGTCCGGGCCAAGGCTGGCGTTGGGGGGCAGGCGGCAGTGGTGGGCGGGGATGGCAGCTGTGAAGTTCTGCAGGGTGTTGTGGGAGGCCATCAGGAGCAGCGGCAGGACCACCAGGGCGACTTGGATCTGCTGGAAGCGGCCGACGGCACCCACCTGCTTCAGGAGGTCGTTGAAGGCCATGGCGCTGGCCGGGGTGGGTGGCCGGATGAGGATGTTGTCCCAGGGCTGTGGACTGCCCGTCTGTCCTCCGTCCTCTGCCAGCAGCTGTGTCTGCGGCCGAGGCTCTGCGGGGCTGCGGCCTGGGCCCCTCCTCCTCCCTGGCCTGGTTCTGTCCCTCCCTTCCCCTGCGGCTTCTCCTCACTTTGGGGTCTTGAGAGCCCTGACCCTTACACTGGCAGGTTTTAATCCTTGGCCCAGAGGGAATGAGTTAAAGTGTGACTTAGGATCGGCAGGATTAACCCTGCGAGGACTCCCTGTGTCCGTGGAATCTCTCCAAGTGGGTGTAAAGGGCAGGAAAGGGTGGATAAGGCAGGAGAGGAGAGAGGGGTTGTGCTGGGCACCTGGGAGCAGAAAAAGACACAGCGGGACCTCTCTGTCCCTCATAGTAAGGACAGCACCTGGAAGTGTGGTGGCCTCTCGTGCCCTTTCTAGTGGACAGGATGGGAACGGTCTCTTCAGGAAAGGTTGCCAGAGAAAACCTGAACTTCAGATTAGTGAATAACACTTGAGAAGTGTGGATTGTCTCAGATGCTGCACTGAACGCCCTTATCCATGACACTGGTTGGAATCCCGGTTTGCCTGGCATCTTGTGTTCTGGGAACTGTGAATGTCTGCTGGGGCCATGGTTTTCAGCGGTGGGGAGGAACCAGTGTCAGAGGCTGCCTTCGGAGGAGGGAACCTCAAGCCAGTGTCATGGTCACTCAGCTTTCACCTTCTCGGTGGCTCTGATTCTAATTTCCCTGTTGTCATGTCTCTTGTCTACTATTTTTAAACAATGAGTGTGAATTTAATCTCATTTTTAGTTGTGACGCCGAGATATCCCTTCAACCCTCTGAATGGCCTTGGCTCCTGATCTGGGGCACCCTCTCCACTACTGGATGTGTTTTGCTGCATCATGGGCTGGGGACGCTGAGAGCAGGCTGCACCTTTTGTGTCTGCCTGGCACCATGTATGTTATGTAAGATGTGGCCTGCTGGACCCAAGCCCTCCCTCCACCTTCGCTGGCTTGGTGACCAGGGCCATTGCTTGACTTCTCAGCTCCTGTGTGATCTCATTTGCAAGATAGGGATAATCATTGGAGTGGTTGTAGGGTCAAATGAGCTGATTTGAGGAAAGACCTTCAAGTAGCTTCTAGCCAGGTGAGGTAGCATGCGCCTGTACGACTGGCCAGGTGGGAGGCTGAAGCAGGAAGATGGCTTGAGCTCAGGAGTTTGAGACTATCCTGGGCAATGTGGTAAGAGCCCAACTTGAAAGATGAAGGACAAAATAAGACATGCCAGACCAAAGAGAAGCTTTTGCCCTGTAGCTCAGTGATTATGAACTCTTACTTTTTTATGGTTTTAAAAAAAAAAAGCAAGAGAGATCATCACATTGATTTTAGAAGGAAAATATGTCCAAGCTCATCTTATGCTAAAAACAGTGGTTTTTCCACTGGGTGCCTTTGCCTCCCTTAGCAACACCTGGAGGCATTCCTGGTGGTCACATGTGGAGAGGTGGATGCTTTCGGCTTGTGAGGTCCAGACGCTGGGAGGTGTCAATGCCCAGAGTCGCCTTGACTCTCATGGTGGTAGGGGAGGTTGGGAAACCTGGCCCTAGACTCTGCTGTATGGGGACCGGGCTCCATGGGTTTGTCATGGAGATGATGCCTACATCTTCTTGGGCCCCTCACTACGGGGCAGGGACAGACGCTGCACACCGGCCTCCCCTACCCAGGGCTCCCTCAGAACCCAGCCTACATTCAGCCCACGCTGCTCTGCTGTGTCCTGTGTTGGTGGCTGGCTGAGCGCTGCTCTGTCCTTCTGTGTAACGGGGCTCATCTGACTGCCCGTCCAGCGTGGGGACAGGTCAGGAAGCAGAGGCCAGCCCAGGCCCTGCCGCCCAGACATACGCAGCGGGTGTGCAGACTGCGAGGGCGGGCCCGCCTTCAGTTCCCGCCACCCCTCCTCGCTCCCAGGGTGCAGCTTCTGTGTTAAGTCACCGGGGTCCTTGATGTACCCCGAGGCCTAGGATCCAGGAGGCCCTGCCTGGGCCTCTGTCTCACGTCAAAGCCGGGACCCTAAGGATGGCTCTGGAGTTGTAGACTGTGGCTGGAAGTATCTAGTGATTTGGTCTCATGCACAGAAGAGAGCAGGCGAGGCTTGAGGGGACCCAGCCCGGCTCCCTGCCCCGAGCTGGCTCTGCTTGGCCCACCAGGGTCCAGATGCCTGAGAATGGTGTCCATGCCAAGGTATACAAAAGCCCGAGGCCTGGGGAGGCGAGGACAGCTGGACAAACAGCTTGGGGCCACGGGCCAGGCTCCTGCCGAACCTGTGTCCTGGGGCCTAGGCAAGGGCTGAGGACCGTGGGGCGATGTCCCCCACGAACAGCCATGCCTGTGCCCAGCTGCGCAGCTCGGCTGGCTGAGTCCGGGAGGCCCTGCTGAAGATGCATTTTGGTTCCACCAGCATGGGCAGACACGGACACGTGCAGACTCTGTGCCAACTCAGTTGTGCCCACATCTGCACATAGCACACAGATGGCAGGCATGTGGCCTGCATGTCACCTGGCGGCTGTCCCTGTCCCCAACCTGAGCTGTATGGCTTGAGTTCTTGCTTGAGCTCTTGTTGCTATTTATTGAAATTTCCCATCCCAAAGAGGAGTTGAGGGCAAGAAGAGGGCGCTGTCTGAGGGCTGAGCCAGGGACCTCGGGAAGAGGCTTGGCCAGAGGGAGAGCAGGGCCTGGGGCAGGTGGGAGGCTGGGCCTGCAGTGGCTGAGGCCCTGGGGGAGGAGGTGGGTGGTCTCACGGCACCCTCAGAAGGCTGTGTGTGTGGGCACAGACCCACCCAGGCCCCACTGCAGGGTCCCAGGCAGGCAGGTCCCTGTGGGATCGGTGTCGGGGCAGGGCAGGCCTCTCCCTCAGCTGGGGCCTACGCCCTGTGTGCCTGACTTCAGAGGTATCTTCTGGGCCTCTTTCTCTGCTTCCAGCTCCAGCCTTGTCTCCTTTGCTGGCTTGGACCTGGAACAGAGTGTGGACACAGCCCTGAGCCCACCTGCCGCCCGGGGCCCTGCTGGCGGGCAGGGGTGGGAAGCTCACCACTGCTGTAGGTCTTCTAAGTTCTCTGGCAAAGGGCGGTTGAGGGTCTCTGGAAGGAAGAAGGCGGTGCTGCCCCCCAGCAGGGCCATGGTCCCGTACACGATGTTGGGGATGGCAGGGTGCACCTCGCCTGTGATCTTCACTAGCGGGGCCATCATGCTCCCCACGCGGGCCCACATGTTGCTGAGGCCCATGCCTGTCTGCCTGGAGAGGGGTTTGGAGCCGGGGTTGTCAGCCTAAGAGCCCAGGGCCCCTGGGCAGAGGCAGGAGGAAGCCCTGGCTCTGCCTGGACAGGGTCCTTTGGCCCCAGGCCCCACACCCACCGGATGACTGTTGGGTAGAGCTCGCTGGTATAGAGGAAGAGGCAGCTGAAGGAGCTTGACAGGCATCCCTTCCCAAACACAGCCAGTGCTGTCCTCAGGATGTGCATGTCTGCAGGGCAAGGACGTGTCAGGAGCCACGGGGTTCAGAGCACCTGACTGCTCTTCCTTAGCACGCCTTATTTCCCTTTTTGCTCTGACTGCCAGGAAGCTCAGATCCGAACTGAAAGGTAATACTCCCACTGCTACCCCTGATGCTTTGCATGCTGGCTCTGCCCCCCAGCCCCCCAGCCCCCCGAGCTCTGATTCTCTATTCCCCCTTCTATTTTGTTGTATATGTCCTTGTCCTAAAAGACCTCAAATTCCTTTGGAAGGACAGAGGCATATCCACAGATAAATATTCATCTAAAACAAAATTGGCTTTTTCCGATCATGGTAAAGTGGTTTGTGGGTCTCCCAAGCCCTGGACTCTACTGCTCCTGCGTCTCAGCTTGCCCTCCAAAGTGATGTCCCCAGGATGTGTCTGAGCCCAAGTGCCTTCTCTCATCCGTAGGCCCCATCCTACTCTGCCCAGGCCACGTTGGATGTGGAAAGGTGCCTGCCAGTCGTCAGCCCAATGGGGTTATTCTCTATAAAGAAGGCTGAGGCCCCTTGCAGGAGGGCACATGGTAGTGCAGGGCATCGGAGCTGCAGCCCTCCCAGCCGCTCACCCTCGGGCATCAGGATGAGAGCCAGGATGGTGCCTCCTCCCAGGAGCAGGGTGGAGGCCTGGGTGATGTGCCGGCCCAGGTAGCTCACGGAGAGGATGGTGATGAACTTGGAGGGAATGTCCACCCCTCCGAAGATGATCTGGAGGATGTAGATGTCCACCCCAAACTCTTCCACGCCCATGGCCAAACTGTAGTAGGCAAAGCCAGTGGAAAACCTGAGGGACAGAGGGCTGGGTTGGCTGTGGCTCGGCCAAGGCCTTCGGGGCCAGGGTGCTGAACGGCCCCTTTTTTGGGTGCTGCCTGCCTGTGACTGTGGGGTTTCTGAGAAAGAGCCGACATAGCGGCCACAAGGGAACAGCCCACAGCCTACAACTCTTAAAAGTGACAGAGTGGGGGCGCTGTCCAAGAGCCCGAGGCAGGAAATGTCTCGTGTGAACGGGGCGGTACATTGACTGTCCTTCCTTCCTCTCTGGGTCCGGGGACCCCCTCTACCAGGGGCTGGGCTGTGGTGATCCCTGCTTCTAGGCTTTGTCCATTGCCCCATAGGGCTGTGGTGGGCAGGGAGGGTGGAGGTTACCAGGCCAACGAGAGACAGAGAGTCATGCGGCGCAGGATGGGGATCCGGAACAGGTGCATGGCACCATACTTGGTCTTGGCCAAGGCGATATCCTTCTGCAGGTTGAGCTTCAGCTCCTTGGACAGCAGGGGAAGAGGGTATGGTCAGAACGACCTGGGGACCCTAAAGCAGGGCCCACTCCCCTCTGCCTTACCTCTACGCTGAGCTTCTCCCCTTCTTCCTTCTTGCCATTGAAGGTGGCCACGCCCTGCAGTGTCTGCAGGGCCTTTGAGAACTTTCCAGACAGCACCAACCAGCGGATGGACTCAGGGACCCACCTGCAGGTAGTCAGGCAGTGTGGCTCTTCTTCCCTGAGCTCCCAGAGAGGCTGGTAGAGTCGCGGGGTGGGGCCCTGGAAGCTGGGGTCCCCAGCTGCAGGTCCTGTGGGGTTTGGGCTCTGGGCTATACAGCTGGCACCCTCTCCTCCCTCCAGAGGGGCTGTTCCTCTGCACCACCCCAGGCCGCTTGTCCCTGTCATCTTCCTGGGTGGGGATGGCGTATTTGTGGCTCCTGCAGCCCACCCCATCTTCTGTGGCTGCGGCCTCTGTGTCTCCAGAGAGGTGGGGGCTGGGGGCTGGGGTGTGGCTGTGGCCTGTGGAATGGGCTGGGGTCCCCTGTTCTTCCTGCCCTAGATCAACTTGTGTGCATGTGCACATGCGTGTGCGTGTGTGCAATGTGATTGTGGGGGGCCTTGGGATAGGGTGTGTGCATCACACTCCTCTCCTGAGCAGCTGGAGGCTGTGGCTGGGGAGAAAGGAGGGGTGTTTGGTGATGGGTGCTGAGGGTAGGCAGCTCCCCTGTGGTCCCCAAGGGCACCTGGGCCAGGCTGCGGGAGGCCCTGGGGCGAGGATTTGGGGACCTGGTCTCAGACCACTGACTCCTCTCTCACTCAGTGTTCCCTGGAGCTGAGACCCGCCTTACGCTGTGCGGTTCCATGTCCTCCCAAATGCCCCAAAAAGGCCTGGCCCATGGCCCTGACCCCGACAGCAGTGGCCCTGGGGCGGTGAGCCTCCGTGCCAGGCTGGGCCATGAAACTCTGGGCAACAGGCTGTGTCACCCACTGCCCAGAGAGCACACACATGGGTCAGGGAGGCCGGCCAGCCACATCTGCAAGTGCCTGTCGCCTCCTGACCCTGCGGGCTCCTCCTGCCTGCTCCAGGCCGTGGACAGCTTGGGCGCCCCACCTGCCATCCCTCCAGCAGCTTCCACCTTTAATCATGGGGAAAGGCTTCTCCTGAGCCTCGGGTCCTGACCTGTTCTGTGGGGATGATGTGCTGCCATCCACAGTTCTGCTGGGGGCTAGAGACAAGGCAGGCTGACCTCCAGGGGGCCGCACCTTCACTATGTGCTCAGTAAATCACCCAACCTCCCCGAGGTGCGCTTGTGACTCAGGGATGCTGGCTCTGGCAGTCAGGGAGGCTCACTTCCCCCTTCAGAACGCTTGGGTCTGCTGCCCACGACGGAACTCCAGCCACCCTCTCCGGCCCCTCACATTGTGTAGGTTCCTCCTCCAACATGGCTCCCAGAGCCCCTGATCCTCCTCCTGTAGTCTCCTCCCCTGTGCACTGGCCCCTGCTCCCCTGTGTACTGCAGAGCCCCTGATCCTCCTCCTGTAGTCTCCTCCCCTGTGCACTGGCCCTGACCCAGGGCTGTCCTCTCACGCCGTAACCTGGCCAGGCCCTGGTTTGCGGCGCCAACCTGGGGATACCTGGCCTTCTGTGCTCTCCTTTGGCCCAGTCACCCCTCCTTCAGCTGTGTGGCCCATGGTCCACCCGTCCCGCGAGAGCCTCCCTCCTGGGCTTGAGGAAGGGCTGGGGATGGGCACGAGAGACTGTCCCTGGCTGGGCCTGGGCCCCTGGGAGGGAGAGAGGGCTACTGACCAGGACAGCAGGCAGAAGACGAAGAAGGGCACAGACACGGTCAGCTGCAGCCAGCGCCACTGGGGGATGGCATAGGCCAGGCCGGACAGGAGGAACTGGCCGACGGTGTAGAAGTAGCCGATCATTGTGGACGAGATGGCCCGCATCCAGGTGGGCACCCACTCCACATCTGTGGGAGGAGCCCAGCGCTGTCAGAGCCATGCCAAGGCCACGGCTTGCGTCCCAGCAGCCCAGCCGCTCCAGATCCCACATGGCCCCAAGGGCAGAGCTCAGCGAAGCCCAAGAGGGGGTTGCTGGGTGTCTGCTCCCCACTGCACCTCTGGTGGCAACAGACTTCCACCATCTGTACACTGCTCACAAATCTGTTCCTAATGGAGCTCAAGGCCCAGGGAAATCCTCAGGATTCAGAGCTCCTTTTTTTTTGAGGTACTGGGGGTTGAACCCAGAGGTGTCCAGCTTTGAGACACACCTCAGTTTGTTTTACTTTTTATTTTCAGACAGTATCTGGCTAAGTTTCCCAGGCTGGCCCAGAGCGTGTGATCCTCCTGCCTCAGCCTCCTGAGTAGCTGGGGTTGCAAGTGCACATCACTGTGCCTTGGCCACAGCTGCTGTGATGCTTGTGGGACCTCTGGGGCCCTGATAGGGGCAGCCGCTTGGCCAAGACCCCATGTAGCCTGCGGGGACAGGCTGGGTGTACGTGTCTGGTGGGCTCCTCTGCCCCACGCCACGTCCCCGCCCCCTCAGGCTGATAGTGCTCACTCAGGATGACGGTGCTCAGGGTAATTCCTGAGATGCTGAAGCCACACAGGAAGCGGAAGACCATGTAGGTGGGGAGGCTGGGGCTGAAGGCTGTGCCTGAGCCGCTGGTGGCCAGCAGGAGGTAGCTGAAGGTCAGGATGGGCTTGCGGCCAAACCTGCGGCAAGGGAGGGCGGGCAGTCAGCCACACCTGCCAAGACCAGTGACTCTGCAGGTTGGGCGCAGGGCTGTGCCCCCACCCCTGCCTGCCACCTGAGGACGGGGGCACCTGCGCTGGCCCTGTAGACAGAGCATGGCTGCTAACTGCTGTTTTCCAACAAGGCTGCAGTTAGCACGGAGTTAATGAGTGACCTCTTTGGCCCCCAGCTTGGCTGACCACAGCTCAGGGGTCAAAGGAGCAGCCCATGTGCCGGTCTTCGTGCCCCATGGCCCTGTCCAGGAATGTGGGGACCCCATGTCTGGGGCGCTGGAAGCCTTGCTAGGAGGGCTTGGTTGGGTGCAGCCTGGACAGGGGGGCTTCCCACACCCCCAGGCAAGACCTGGCCCATCTCTGCTGGCCAGCGGACGAACCTCACCTGTCAGACAGCTTCCCCAGCACCAGGCCTCCGATCAGGATGCCTGCCATGTAGACCGACTGCGCCATCTCCTTCATCTTGGCAGAGCTGCACACCAGGTCCCACTGCAGAGGTCCGGATGGGCGCCGGTCAGCACCCACCGCCGGGCCTGGCCCTCCTCTGCCTGGCCTGCGCGCCCTGTTCCTGGCCAGGGCTGCGTGCCGCAGCGTCCCGGAACCTGTGCGGCCCCTGGCCTGACCTGTCCTCCGCACTGCCCGTGTCTGGCAGCTCCCTGCGCCCTCCTTTTCTGCACATCTTGCCCTTACCCTCCTCGCGAGGGACATCGCTGCTGAGGCCCACCTTCCCTTCTTCAGTCTCCGCCTTGGCGTGAAGCTTCTCCCTTCGTTGCCTCTGCCCCTCTCCCCCCACAAAGCCAGGTCTCCTGGGAGGAGCTGCATCCACACCACCCCGCTCTCATCTCCACGCTGTCTGTCCCCAGGGGTGCAAAGCTGAGCTCACTACTCCACCACAGGTCCTGTCGCCTGAGCAGCAGGACCCTGTGTGTGCTGCCTGGCTTGTCCTCCCTCTGCCCGGTGTCCCACTCTTTGCCCTGCCCCCTTCTCTCTGCCCAGCCCCTAACGCCCCCGGGCCCCCGGTCCCTCTGTCCTCCTGTTCCTGTGGTGCCCGAGACGCCGGGCCCTGTTGCTGCAGCCAGCTGAATCTTCTGCTGCTTGAAATGCACCTGGGTGGCGTCACTGGTGTGGCTCAGACTCAGAGGGATGTGTCACCTGTCCTTGCAGATCCAGGAGAGGTGACCGGCACCCCCTTTCATTTAATAAATATTTTTAAAAGTGTCGTTTGTAAGAGACGAGCCCTAACAGCAGGTGTTTGTGGGCTGCAATGTGAGGGTTACCCCTGAGGGACACCGCTGTCCCGTCCCTGGCGGGACGTATGTGAAGTGAAGTTTGTTCTCTTGTTTCGTCTGAAGCCCAGAGGACTCTGTATCCGCTGTGTGATGGATCCCAAACTTAGTCCTCTCCTGGAGCCCTGGGGCCAGCCATCCCCCACCTATGCTGAAGACCATGGTTTCCTAAACATGCACCCTTGCAGGCTTCACTGCAGATCTCGCCAGTCCGCCTTCCAACTGCTCCTTCGCCCACCCCACACTCCCTTGACTCTTGCCTCTAGTTCTTTCACATTCCCTGAATCTGGATCCCTCCATTTCCACTGCAGCCACTGAATGCCAGCCCAGCCCTTTCGCCCTGGGATTAACTGTGGACCTGTCCTGTTTGAGGGTTTACGAGGCCTCAGGCATTGTTCCAGGCACACTATGTCTGTGATTAACTTCCTGCATCATGAACAACCTTATAATGTGGCACTTTCCAAACAGGGACGCTGAGGCCAAGTCTCACTGTGACGACCTTCCAAGGGGCCTTGGACCTCCATCCCCTCTCCCTAATGATTTGACCAACAGCTTTGACACCAAGCTCCAAGCTGTCCTCTCTCCAGGGGCCTCCCCAGCTGGCTCTGCCTTTTGGGCCGGCAGTGCTCTCCGGCCTCATGCAGGGCCCTGCGGAACCTACCTGTCGGGCCTAATCTCCTGCTAATCCTCACAGAACCCTTGGCTCCAGCCACCCTGATTACTGGTGTAATGAAGTGGAGAATGGTATCCACCAGGAATGCCTCCCGAGAATGTGTTGGAGGTAAGACAGTGTGGGAACTGTGGCTTCCAGGGACAGGGACTTGTTCCTGCTGCCTTTGACAAAGGTGGGAAGGGCAGTGCGGACAAAGATGCCAGCGCCACCCACTGTCTCCATGTGGCTGAGCCTGGTGGTCCCCTCTGGTCTCTTCTAGATGGGAAGGGCTGAGCGTTGTGTATGTGTGGGGTGGGAACAGAAGAGGGAACTGGGGGAGGAGGAAGTGAGGGTGTGTGAGGAGCAGAGACCCTTGGGACTCTGCAGAACTGAGAGGATCTGCTGTCCATGAAACTCCCTCGCCCCTCAGAGGCTGTGTGGCTCCTGGTAACGGGGCTACCTCTGCCCTTGGTACTGTCCCCTTCTCACTGGTGGGGACAGTGACAAGTGCAACAACTCTGGAAGCCAAGCGCTATGGTTACCATGTGTCTCTGAGGCCCTGGAGAGCCTGAAGTACTTCTCACCATGGAACCCTTATAAGCTGTGGATTGCTTTTGATTCTTTAAGGGTAGAAACATTGCCTATCCTGATCCATCCCACAGTGAGGCTTTCATCTCAGTCTCCCTGATATTTAGTGCCCTAAGTGATTTGCGCTTACCCATGTTTATAGCAGCACAAGCCACGAAGCTGCCTATCTGTCCATCAGCAGATGAATGGACAAAGAGAATGCTGCATTTATGCACAGTGGAGCACTGCTCTGCCACACAGAAGAGTAGGAAAACGGATGCACCTGGAGACCATAATGCCAGGTGAACTTAATGGTTTCTCTAAAATGAGAAGCCCAAAATATAAATCACTTAAGGAGCAGAACAGAAGCAAGATGGCAGGAAACAGGAGGTAGACTCTGTGGAAATGGGAAGGGTGTCAGGGAGGAGGAAGGGATGAGGAATGCGACCCAGCTCCCCAGGACCAATGTGATCACGGGGCTTCGAAAACATAGGCGGATGCATCAGCATGAGACCTGCTTGGATTAGTTCAAGGCTGCTGTCTGCGCCCTGTCTGAGACCAGATCTGCTGGGGCTTAGTGTCCACTCAGGGACTTGGGACCATGCTGACTTTAGAATAACTGTCACAGCTGGCTTCTACCAGAATATTGAGCCATTTACAGGAAGCGTCATTCCTGGAGTGAACTTTGAGTTAAGTTTAGAGTGTGCTCACATTCCTAAAGCCCTCCAGGCCTAGGGCCTGCTCTGCCTCCACCCTTCTCCTCTCTGCTGGTCTTGCACGCCCCCTCGAGGGGCATCATCATCTGGCTGCCCCACATACGGCAGGCATGGCATGTGCCACCATGTGTCTGGAAGGTCCTCCCGAGGGAACCAGTGCCCCCATGTCCTTCAGACCTTACTCAATGACATCTTGCCAGTGAGGCCTTCCTGACCACCCTGTTAAAAATTGTCACCCTGGTGTCCTCTTCTCTGTACTGTACTCTGTCTTCTCTATAATTCTCCCACCATCAGATGGGCACACAGTTCTCCATTTTTGTAACTTCTTGTGTTTTTCTCTCCGAGGATGTCAGCTGGATGAGGCTTAGACTTTGCGTCTGTTTTGCTAACTGCTGTACTTTCATGGCCTGCTTAGTGGGTGGCTGCCCAATGAATACTCATGGAATTGAGTGAACAAGTGAATATTCACAGGATAGTCAGGGACGGTGAGCTGTGGAGGTTGATGTGTGATATCGACACGAGAGGCCGCCCGGTCTGCACTCCACACACTCTGGGAACGGTCTCATGAGGGCACATCAGCATGTGCTGTGTCTAGCTCCGAGTTCACAGCTACACAGCAGTCAGGAGAGTTCTTCCTTCGTGAGAACACAGGAAAGTTGTACAGCAGGTTGCCCCTGTGGTACAGTTGTCCTTCAGTGCGGTCCTGAAGCTCAGAAGGAGTTGTGTATGTGACTATTTAAGGAATTGGGCTTGAACGCACACTCAGTTCCCCCAGTGGCTTCATGATTAATCAGCACTGTTGGGAGGACGTGACACGGCTGCCTGTGTGCCACAGGAACCTGGGCCTTGGGTCCGAGATGCACAATGTTGTGAGTTTAGCCATTTCCCCAGAAGACACCTGGAGCTCTAACGCCAGGGCCTCAAGGTGTGATCTCATTTGGAGTAAGGTCATTGCAGATGTGGTCAGCTGAGTGAAAGTGAGGTCACGCTTGAGTGGGTGGATCCTTAGTCCACTATGACTGATGTCCCGTAAGGAGAGGAGACACATGCAGAGAGAGCGCCATGCAGTGACGGAAGCAGATGCTGGTGCGGTGTGTGGTGTGCATACAAAGCAGGAAGGGTGCTGGGTAAGGCAAGGGCGGCTGCTTCCTGGGGTGGAGAGCACAGTGACACCATGGTGCTGAGCTTCCAGCCTGCAGGTCTGAGACAATACAATCTCTGCTATTCGAGGCCACCCAGTCTGTGGTGCTTTCCTTTGGCAGTCACAGAAACCCACAGCACTTGGGTTCCTGGGTGGGGATGAAGCAGAGGAGCACAGCAGTGAGGGAACCAGGTGCAGAGCAAAGGGGAGAGATCTTTGTCCTGGAAACGCTTAATGAGGTTTCCACACGCTTTCTGTGTAGTTAGCTGTGCACGGGCTGGAGAAGGGCCCATCATGAAAACCCACAGCAGAAGGCTGGGTTCTTATGCCAGGCGTTGAGAGTGGTGCTTATGTTTCCTCGGGCTCTCCCTCCATGCCCAGCATCCTGTCCTCATCTCCAGAAGGGCGTGGATTGCGTGGAGTCCAAGAGCTCACTGGCTTGTTTTCCTCTCCTGTATTCCATAACCTCGCGGAGGGCAGAGCACATATCATTTGACTTTTTAATTCCTGGCAGCTAGCAGAGTAGCTGGTAATAGTGAGTGTTAATGCTCATTTGATGAATAATTAATGAGTAAACAGGGCTGGGTTAATGTGTCCATTTTACTGATGAGGCCCAAGAAGGAAAGGTAGCTTGCTGGTTGGGGACTGGTGCCCCTATTTGGCCCTTGGCATGGCCTTGACTCATGTTTTCTGTTACCTGTTGGCAGTTCCGCCTGGTGTTTTGCTCTGAGTCCTAGACTGGCATTCTTGGCCTTTCTGTTTGCTTCCTTGGAGTGCAGCGGAGGCCCAAGGGAGCTGGGTGAGGAGGGAAAGGGTGAGGTGCTCCCTGCTATGTCTTCTTGAACGGCTAATGCACCAGGCAGACACCAGGGAAGAAAGAAGGCTCTCTGAACAGTGTGACGATAACATGAGGAAGTGGGTCCCTCGTTGCACAGAAAACTCCAGGCTCAGAGGGAAAGTCCTGTGTCTGAGCAGAGACTCAAACTCAAGCTTTCTGGTTCTCAGCCAGAGTCCCTGACCTTGATCACTGCTTCTCTTGACCATTCTGCATGGCGATGTGTCCTGAGCAGCGTGGGACAGGGTGGCCCAGGAGGACTCAGGCAGAGGAGGCTGAGGCCAGAGCCAGGGCCGGGGTGAGGAGATGAGAGGCTCAGAGGCCAAGCAGCAGTGGGAAGCAGGCGGGAGACCTAGGGGCTGAGGCACAAGGGGAAAGGCGGAGCATGGCCCCTGTGTATGGGAAACAGTGCCCTGCCGAGGGCCATTGTTCCCCCAGGCAAGGGAGAGCTGCCTTAGTTTGGAACTTTGCAACCAGGTCCCATGTTGGGGGATTGCTGCCGCCCCTGTACACCCTTGGTCCCTTAAGGGAACCTGTGCTGGGCACAAGGGCCAGGGTCCTGGGGAGTCAAAGCCTTGCCCCTCGAGGTGTGTGTCCCTGGCCAGGTACGTGGTCTCTCTGGGCCTCAGTCTCCTCACCTGGACCTGCAGAGGCACTGTGCTTGCAGACGGTGGCTGGACAGAGTGGTACTCCGGCCACAGAGGCCATTTCACTACCACTGTCCCATCATCAAAGGCCCCTGACCTAGCACCAGACCTAGGAGCGTGGGCCTTTGTAAAGCAGGGCCACGAGGTTGGCTGCCAGGAAGGCAGTGAGTGTGGCCCTTGCTCATTCCTGGGAGTTAGAAGCTGGAGGAGAAGGGGCAGGGCCTTGGTCGCTGGCTTGGGTGGAAGGGTCGGACCCCACAAGGTGGAGATGGCTCTGCTCCAGCAGCCACCATGTCCTCCAGGGACAAGTGTGTACATTGTGAAGAGGTATATGTGTGCACAGGTGGGCACACATGTGTCCATGTGACCACGTGCTCGTGCAACACACATGTGCTTATGCATGTGTGCATTGTATGTTTGGGCATACAGGTATGTGCTTGTGTGTGCATATGTATGCACGTGCAGGTATGTGTGGACGTGTGTGGATGTGCACGCACGTGTGCATGCATGTGTGCAATCCAGCTGTGTGTGCATGTGTATATGTACATGCGTGTGCTATGTGTGCATGTGGGCTTCTGGTGGCCCCAAAGGATGGGGGTCTAAGGTCTCCTCCAGGATCCCAGGGTCTAGCACCCAGGCTCCCCTGTTCTGCAGACTGAGAAGAAAGGCCTTTGTGTCCTCTTAATGTTCTAGCAAAGCTCCTCTGCCAAATCCCGACCTGGTTTCTGCTCCATGAGAAAGGAATGTGTGGTCTCCCTGCCAGGAGAGCTTAGGATGTCAGAGGGAGGGGGCCGCCTCTCTCCCAGTCTGGACCCCATGTCGAGTTCAGCCTCTGGTTCCTCTTGGCTGCCCCACCTGCGGAGTTGGGCCTGGGAAGCAAAGAAGGCTGCAATACTGCTCCCCTCTCACTGGGTCCCTGCTTGCCTGTGAGGACCACCTTCCTGTTCCCAGACTGCCACCCACCACTTAGCACCCTGCAAGCACCAGCTGCATTGTGTTGTGATCTTTCATCCTCACACCCGCTCCTGTAGCCAAGCTCTGGATTTTGTGAGGTGCCCAGTAACTGGCAGGGTCAGGATGTGAGCGCTGGCTGTCCGGCTCCAGCCCACCACCCACTTTTTCTCCTGGTTCCTCACAGGGCACGCACATTGTCAGGCACCTGCCTTCGTCTCTACCCCCTTTCTTGTCCCTGTTCTCCCCACCAGAGTGGGCACCTGAAGTGCCTGCCTGGGAGTCAGAGCCTCCAGGGAGGTCCAGCTGCTCCAACTTCTGTACCCTGGGGCCTGGCACTAATGCTTTAGGAGACCTGGTGTGGAGAAGGGCATGGTGCCGGGCCTAGGGTGCTGATTCACGCAGCCTGAGGCCCGACGAACACTGAGGTGTGGCCAGCACAGGGGGACAGACACCTGGCTGCTCATGAGGCCTGAGCTGCTGCTCGTAGGGACCTGGGGAGCCCACCTGTGTCCTGCGGAGACGGGGGCACCTGCAAGTCCGGCACCGGGTGGCTGCGGTGCTGGTGGCGCTGCGGTTTGACTGCATACCCTGCGCGTGTTTCTGTGCTGAGCCCTGTGCTTGCAGGCTTCATCCTTCCCTTGTCTTCCCAGATGCACGGCAAGGCCTTGTGAGGTGGGAAATCCACCCCAGGCCCCTCTTTGAGCCCTCCCTGCGTCTTGTCCCCATCACCAGGTCCCTTCAACTCTACTGCCCCAGCCTCTCACACATCTGTCTGTGTTGTCTCTGTCCTGCATCTGTGGCAACTTGCTACCAGGCCACCTGCTGCCAGAACAAAGCTCTCTGCAAGCTGACCTCCACTCTGCAGCTGGCAGTGACCTCAGATCCAGGAGACCTGAGCCGCTGGCATGCTCCTGCCATGCACCATCGCACTCGTGGCTTCCCGTTGCCTCATTACAGAGGCACAGCCTTGCTTTGTGCCCAAGCCAGGCCTCTCTGGCACTACGACTAGGCCACATCAACTGCCCCCTCCTGGCACCTGCAGCCTTTCTCTCTGGAGCCCTCTAGGCTTCTGTGACTTCCCACTTGACCTTGCCACACACTGTGGCTGCCCAGCCCCTGCTAGCCCTCGGGACACCTGCTCTCCGCACCCCCAGCACTCTGGTGCCGAAGCATGCACTCACTCCCTCCACAAATATCCCCTCCGCGGAGCACCACCCGGCTGCGTTATTCCAGGTGCTGGGGCAGCAGGCGGCCAGACGGCTGGAAATTCCTGGCTTGGGAGGAGCCTACATACCTCACACTACCCTGGCCCAGGGCTGGGTCTGTGTCCTCCAGGCTGCCGAGGCTGCTCCTGTTCTCAGGCTCCCTGGCTGCTGGCCAGGGCACCATGCATTGTGTGAATTCATGTTCGGGTATGAGATGCACTTGGGTGGGACAGAGGGAGGAAACGGGATCTGGGGGTACGGGAGCATGGTGTCACATGGGAGCATGGTGTGTGTTGGTCCCGATTGCCCCTTACTAGCAGTGTGGCCGCCGGCTAGCTGCTTCACCTCTCTGTTCCAGGCCCTGTCTGGAAGAGGGCTCAGAATGCTCACTGCTCACAGAGCTGTCCAGATCTCAGCATGCATGTGTGCGGTACATTCAGAGCCATGTCTCTGCCTCACGAGTGCTCTGTGCAGAAGTGGATCCTTGCTGAACACGGAATAACCAGGCTCTGAGTATGGACAGGCCTGGATTCAAGCCTGATCCCTGTCAGCCAAGAACGTCAGGGAACGGGCTCAGTTTCCTCATCTGCCTGCTGCAGATGATCATCTTTCTGTGGAGAGGAGGTGAGACCTGGTGGGGCAAGGCCTGGACCTTGGGGCTCTTAGATCCCAGGGAGTGGGCGCGCCCATCTCTGCCCAGGGAGAGGTGTCTCCTGCTCCAGGGAGCGCCGGAGCCCTGTAGCTTTGCCTTTTCTCTCAAACTCCCATAAATACATCCCAGTGCCTCTTTGTGGCCCTAGCTATAAGTTCCAGTCCCAGCCTACCAGCCCCGTGGCACCGGACAGCCCGGTCCCGAGTCTCTGTAATGGGAGATGGAGACAGGCTCAACGACTGAGACCCAGAAGACTGCCTGGCAGCGGGTGGATGCTCTGAAAGCACCACTCCCCACGCCCCTGCCCTCCCCCTCAGCCCCCCTTGCTTGCCACCTCACAGAGCCGCGGATCCAACCCTGCTGTCCCTGGAAGTGGCGGGGGACAGGGTCAGTGAGTCCATGGTGGACATGACGCTCTGGGGCAGCTCAGGGGTCCCTCCCCCTCTCTCCAGGCCTCTCTTCCAGGTGCCTCCTCCGTGGCCTTGCCACCATGGAATTTTCCTCTTCTCCCTTGTGCCCGGGGCACCTTGACCGACGTTGGTCTTTCACCCCAGAGTCACTTCTCCAGGGAGGGGCCTCCACTGTCCACCCATCCACTCCTGCCACCTAAGGTCATGGTACAGAGGGCTTTAGATATATAACTGCGCTTCCATGTGGTGCCATCATGACTCAGAGGAGCCCTCGAGGCTGTGGACCCAGCGACCCTTCTGGGCTGGCCACAGCAGCCTTCTGCTGCATGTCAAAAGACCAGAGCTTGCTTGGTGTGAGTCGGTGCCTGACCTGCCCCTGCCCACGCATCCCAGAGCCTGGTGGCTGTGAGTGATGCAGGGTGTGTGGAGTCTCTGAGGTGAGGGTGTGGGGGTCCAGGCCGTACCTCTGTCACAATGGTGTCCCTGGTGGCATTGTAGACCCAGCCGTCCAAGCAGGGCTCGGTGGTCACCTGGGTGGCGTTGGGCATGCTGGTGTTGGGCGTGTACGCCAAGCGGAGGCACTTCTCAGGCTTCCCATTGGGGCCCAGGAAGGGCATCCAGGGCCCCTCAGAGGCGTTGGGGGGTGGGCGGCAGTGGTGGGCAGGGGTGGTGGCTGTGAAGATCTGCAGCAGGTTGTGGTTGGCCATGCCAAGGATCGGGAGGGCGAGCAGGAGTATGTGCCGGTACTGGAAGGGGCCCATGCTGCCCACGCGCTCTAGGAGGTCTGAGAAGGCCATGGCACCGCGGAGGAGGAGCTGGAGTTGCAGGGGTATCTGGCCGGGGAGACGATCATGTGTGCATGTGATGTGTGTGCGTGTGACGTGTGCACGAGTGCATGTGTGTGAAGATGTAGGCTGGGGGTGGTGTCCACAGACTCACCTGCAGACACAGAGGCTGTGCCCAGCTACATGGGGCGTGCAGCAGCAGAGTGTCTGCACGGGTGTGGACACAAGCTCTGAGTGTATGTGTGCACGCATGCACGTATGCACGTGTGTGTGCGTGTGCGTGTGCTCAGCTGGGCTGGTCACATCTGCCTCTGCATGGGATGGCAGGGCCCAGGGGCTGCCCAGATGGGAAGGGGCCAGGTTTCCCCGGGTGGTTGGATATCCGTGATGGCTCCAGGCAGATGCACTGGGGAAAAGACACTGGCTGCCAGCTGGGGAGGCTCCCAGAGCCCAGAGGCTCTGGCTTCAGCTGTCCACCCCCCGACCCCCACCCCAGCCTGAGTTCCTGCATCAAGGCATAGTGGAGCCCAAGCCAGTCTGGGGGCATCAGGGCTGGGCCAGCCATAGGGAAGAAGCAGGGCCTGCCTAGGGGTTCCTGAGCACGGGCTTGGGGGCCCTGTCCCTTCTCACCTGGTGGCCAGTCTTCTCTGGTGGGATGGTGGAGCCGTCACTGGAGCCCTCGCTCTGTCCTAGGTAGGGTCTGGCAGCTGCTGGGTTGGACGGCTCAGCTCCAACAAAGCTGTGTTTGGGCCTTCCCAGGGGGGCTTATATAAGGCATAAGCTGCTTCCCAGGCTAATGTTTGACTTTCTTTGCAGGATTAGCATCCGGCAGGGAGAGTGCTGTGGACCCAACAGGCGCAGGTCTGCAGAAAAGGCTGCCTCAGCGCAGGCTGGGGGTGGGGAGAGGCCGAGGCAGAGGGGCTGCTGGCTGGCTGGGTGCTCGTGGCCTGGTGGGCTTGCCCTAGGTCTGCTCAGAGTCCTGAGGGTCCAGGGTCCTCCTGAGCTGACATCCTGGGATGGGGAGCTCAGTCCAGTGGTAGGAGAGGAGCTCCTGACCTCAAGGGGCAGTGTGTACCACTATTCTGCCCCTTTCTGACTGGCACCTCTGGGTGGTGCAAGGGCTTGTGCCCCAGACAGAGGGCCTATGGCGCTGTCCTCAGGCCTCTGACAACACTGTGGCCAGGATCTCCTGGCCTCAAGGATGGCTGCTGAGGCTTTGATTTTTCTTTGGACATGATTTTAATTGTATAATGTATGTTTCTTGAGCAAAGTGCAGGAAGCACCCACAGACAAGACTAAATTGAACCAAATCCTAGTCTCAGCTGATGGGAGAGTTCTGAGGGATGGCAGGCACGCACATCATGTAACCTTCACTGCAGCGCTTTACTGTCCAGCATCTCGAGTGAGGAAACCTAGGGGCCGAGGAACCCACCCAGGGGGTCCCAGGAGGCAGGATGGGGTGGTATCCGCCCTCAGGGCCTGGATTCTGTTCTAGGTCTCCCAGAGTGTTCTGTAGGGACCCTCCTTGGGAAAGTCAGCCTCTGCTCCCTGTCATAGTTGGTCACCCCTGCCTGCCTGCCTGTTTCTCATCCTCTTAGGGCTCGTGTCTGGTGGTGTCCGCATTACCCTCCTGTGCCCCTCTACTACAGTGACATCCAGCCCCCACCCCTGCCCAGTGCCCTGAGATCCCCCATGCAGGCCCAGCCCTTTCCCCTGCTTACCACCTGAGCTGGTTATTGATGTTCTTTGGTGGCCCGCGGCAGCATGGGATACAGTCATCAAAGGACGGTTAAATTACTGTCCAAGGTCATTGTAGGAAGGCTTCCACCTTGAGGCGCAGGGAATTGGCTGGCTGCCACCTGAGACCCCTACTCTGGGTCTTCACCCTTGTAGAGATTTTCTGGCTCTCAGTTTGCCTGGGCTGTCCGTCTGTTCTGTCCCAGAGGAATGCTGTTCAAAGGCGCCCGGCAACTTCCCCAGGCTGCTGGGGTTGAGCCAGAGTACACAGCCCCTACTGTCCCGCTGGGACAGCTGCATCCGGGTGTCCCCAGCCCTGGCGGATGCCACTGGGTTCCTGATACCTGGATCAAGGCTGCTGTGATGCCCTCATGTGACTTTGGGATAAATTACCTCCCCCTGGGCCTTTCATTTCTCTTCAGTGGTTAAATAGCTTTGAAAAAAAGCCCCAGAAATCTTTTATCCAAATAGGGTACTGAGTTCAGAAGATCAGTGTATATTCTAAAGCAGACATGGAGGAGGTGTGGCTAACGAGCAAGAAGGTGGCCCCCGAACTTGCTGTCACCGCCTTCAGCTCCATGCAGCCCCCTGGGCGGCCTCTGCCCCACATGAAGGGGGCATCACTTCCTACTCAGGGTGGTCTTCAACCTGATATGGTCAAACTGACTATTTGAAAAAGGAAATTATGCATGTGGATAATCTTACGTGCTAAATGCATTTTTAGTTCGGTACATGGAAATAGATTTTTTTCTCTTTCTCCTTTTTTCTTTTTCTTCCTTTTTTTCATCTTTGTGGAAACTTCCAGAGTCTTAAACTGAACTGGGTTCAGTTTCTCCTGTACTCTGGCAGGTTCTGACTTTGAGCAGGAAAAGTAAAAAAAAAAAAAAAATCAGCTAGTCAATGTCCTCATCTTGTATGGATGGGAAAATGAGGTCTAAAGGGAAGGAACAAGCGTCTGATTCCCAGTCTCCCTGAAACCTCCACAGTAGACAGCTTCCTGTATCCTAAATCCTCTGAGTCAGGGGAATTTTATTCCCAGGATCAGTAGATGAGCAGGGGGCCTCACTGAGCATTCATAAGGCCATCTACCCTCCTACTACTTGTCCATCCACCTACCCACCCACCCAACCATTCATCCATCCATCTATCTGTTCATCATCAATTTATCCACCCATCATCCATTCATCTGTCCATCCATCCCATCACCCACACCCACCTGCCCACCCATCCACCCATCCATCTATCAGTTTATCCACCCATCTAACTATCCGTCATATTCCACCCACCTATCTAGCTATATCCATCATGTTCCGTCCATCTATCACTCCATCTATCACCCTTCCACCTGCCCACCCATCATCCATCCATCTATCACCAATTCATTTATCTATTCCCATCCACCCATCATCCATCCATCTATCCACCCATGCATCCACCCATGCCTCCACTGATCATTCGTCACCCATGATCCATCATCCATTCACGCACCCATCATCCATCCATCTATCCATCCACTTATCCATTCAATGTGTACAGTTGGTTTGTTGTCTGAGGGCTCATGCTGGGAGCCGTGATTCCTGCCCTACCCTGTGGTCTACATGCCAGCAGACGGTAGTCCAGAAACAACTGTGGCACCAGGGAGACTGACCTTGATGCTGCAGGAGGTGACCAGGTAAGGGAAAGACACTCCCAAACTGCTAGATGCCAGGTACGAGTTTGTGTTCTCTAAAATCAAAGAATGAATTTTAGGAACAACAGAGGTTAAGAGCAGAGTGTATTTATTGGAGGAAAGAAAGCTTCTGTCTGTGAGAGACAGAAGTCCTGAGTGGGTTGCCAAGGACCCTGCCTTTCCTAGGGACTTTTATAGAGCAAATTGTGAGGCGGAAAATTGCAAGGTGGACATGAGGTGGGACAAAACTGTGGTCAACCAATGAGATTATGGGTTAACTGCTCAGGTAAAATTGATTAAATTGGGATCAAATGGGGGAGCAAGTCATGTAGCAAGTGGGTGTGAATATAGAACAGGGCCTTTCCTGTAGGGGTTGGTTTAGTGGCTCTCCTGGCTTTCTCAAGGGGATTGCCACCTATTTAGAATATCAATCCCTGATGCTTATCTTAGAAAGTATGTGGGTGCATTTGTGTTATCCTTTATCTTGAGGTCTGGCCCACAGCGGAGGTGCCTGTCTCCTCCTCAGTTGTAAGGTATCTCGTCTTCTGCACTGGGTCCTTCAAGAGCCTAGCCCTGACTGCCTATAATATTTTGTTGAACTTAGTTGCCTATAGCAACCTCAATGCTACAGAAGATGACCAGGTATGAGGACTGGGGTTGGAGTGGGTTATCTGAAGAAGGTGACATTTGCACTGACACCAGCTTTTTTTTCTTTCTTTCCTTCTTCTCCTTCTTCTCCTTTTCCTCTTCCTCTTCCTCCTCCCCCTCCTCCTCTTCCTCCTTCTTCTCCTTCATCTTCTCCTTCTTCTTCTTCCTCTTTTTGGTAGTAGGGCATAAACCTAGTTGTTTGCACCTGGTAGGTGAGTGTTCTACCACTGAGCTACAACCTAAGTCCTTTTAACACTTTACTTTGAAACAGTTTCTGTACATGTCCCAGGCTGGCCTTGAACTCAAGATCTTCCTGACTCAGTCTCCCAGTGGTCTCCCTGTGGGATTACAGGCATGCATTCCCTGCCGGACAACCCAGGTTCTGATGATGGGGGATGGGTGGAAAAGGGTCAGCAGGCAGAACTGGAAAAGTGTGTGAGCTTGGGGTGGGCTGGGAAGCAGGTAGAAAAGTGATGGATTAGTGGGGGCAGTGCCTTCCCCAGGGGTCTGGCCTTGGGCTTGGGCAGGGGGTCTCCCCACAACAGCTCAGAAGGGCTGGTGCTTACTGGGAATCCTTGCCCCTGGTGTGGGAGTGCGAGGTCCCAAGGCTTGGGATGGCAGGCACTGGAGCTAGCTAAGGCAGACTGGCTGGTACCGAGCTGGAGCTCACCACGCAGCGTGGATCTCTTGTCCCTTGTAAGGCTGCCACCAAGCCAAGTGGCTACCAACTGCCACTGCCTCTGCCCAGGGCCAAGCAGAAGCTGTGGGCTTGTGACCCCCACCTGGATACTCGGAGTGGGCCTGGTGGGGAAGGCGAGGGGGTTGGTGGGTCCTCAGGGCCACCGGCGACTGCTCCCTGGTGGCTGAGCCCAGCCTCTCAGCCTAGACTTCATCACTGACTGTTAGACCCTGGGTGCATGGGGAGGCCCTGCTAGATCCAGCTTCAAGGGCAACCTCTGCCCTTGCCCCCCCTTGCTGCCCCCCATGGGCCAAGCCTGACATTCCCTCCCTTGACCAAGGAGTCAGGGAAGGACACAGATCTCGACTCCGTCACTTGCTGGCAGTTCCGTAGGCCTCTGTCTCTCACTGTAAGATGGGAATACAGGACTGTAGGGATTTCAGGAAAGGACATGAGTCCCGAGCACAGAGCCAAGCTCGTGGAGGGTCCTTAGTTCCAGGGTCAGCTGAGTGTTCCAGACAGGAGGAGGGAGAAGAGGAAGAGGAGGGAAAAAGGAGGAGGAGGAGGAAGAGGAGACTGACGGAGTGACTCTTTGGCTTTGGGATGCTGGACCTCCCAAGACCTCTGGGGCCCTTGGAATAACCTCAGCCAGTCCTGCTGAAGCCTAGCACATTGCTGCGCACCTGGTCTTCTGTTGTCACCTCACATGGCAAATGCCACAGGTCTGGCATCCTCAGGTCCGGCAGAGTGACTTGGGCCCTGTGGTAGGGCTGAGTGGGGGTGAGAATGGGGGAGAGTCACCCCCTTCAGGTTCTTATGATGATGTTGCTCTGGCAGAGCCCAGGACCCAAGCGTCTCTGTGGAACGCCCAGGCTCCCACTCTGGAGAACTGCTGAGAGCTCTTGGAGGGGACCTAAGGTGATAGACAGACCGCAGTTCCCATCCCAGCATAGCTTTCTGCTCCTCAGATGTCTCAAACCTGAGTGTGACCCAGGGACTTGTGTGAGTGGGTGGCCAGGTGCCCTGTGGGCGGGTGGCAGGAGAGCTGCAGAGCCAGCCCGGCCTGAGGGGGGCAGCGGTGCCCAGCACTGGCTGTCGTTGCTATGGGGACATGCAGGCTCCAGTGCCAGCTCCTCAGAGACTTTAAAAATAGCTGGGAATCTGGACTTTTGTGTGAACGTTTTCCAATGTGTGGGCGACCCTGCCTCCCACCTTCTGGGATCCCTTTGTCTCTGCTTCCTCAGTGCAGAGGGAGGAGGGTTCTGGGGTCTGTGCTACTCCCTGCTGGCCTCCAGGGCTGGCCCATCCTGCAGGCACCCGGCGCCAGCCAGGCGGGCCTTGTGCAGAAATGGGTGCTGGAGATGAGCACACCGGGGAGATGCAGGGTCATTATGGGGTTCTCAGACCAACAGGGGACAGCGGAGGAATGGGAACGAAGGAGCCATGCCTGGCGCCTGCACCCTGGGCTGTTTTCTCACACAGCCCCCCTGGGTTTCCAGCAGAGTTGTGTAGCTTCCTCCTGAGACAGCGTGCATGGTGGGTGGACGGCTTTGGACTCACATCACCCTCTCCCTGCATTGTCTCCAGCTCCTTCTCAGGTCCTCCCCCAATGTCACCTCCTCCAGGAAGCCTTCTGGGACCATCTCAGCCCTCGAGACAAGGGCCCCTGGCTCTAGGAAGCCTTCTCAAAGTTGCTGTGTGCTTGAGGCTGACTTGCTGGCTGAGAGGTGAGGAGGGCAGCTGCTGTTTGTTCAGTGCTTTCGTATTTGTAGGTGGAAGCCAGAGACAAACCTCAAAGCTGGAGGTGGTCAGTGTACCAAGGGTGTGAAAGGCCCTGTTGCCATGGGGTCTGGGACCTCCATGGGGGTGTTCAGGGGCTGCTGCTCTCTGCAGTCTGCTTGGGCCCTGGAAGACTGGTGTTTCTCTGAAGCGTCTCAATGGACCTCGCATGAGGCCTCAGTTTTCTCGCTGAAAAATGGCAACATGATAACAGCTGCAATCTTAAGGGGTGAAATGGAGGGTGAGGGTGTGGGGCCGTGGGTTGCTTAGCCCAACCCATGCTAGGACAGTGTCTGGGCTGGAGCCTGAGCCCACGTGACGATGTTTCCCTGCGCCAAGATGCTGCCTGCCTTGCTCCCTGCTCAGCCCTGTTCCGGACTCGGTCTTGGTCTCTTTGGGCCTGGAAAAGGAGAGGGATGGAGACCTCAGAGAGGCATTGTGTGGAGAAGTCCTGGTAGGGGGAGCTGTGCAGAGGCCACCTGGGCTTGTTCCCCTCCTGGAGGAGAGAAAGACCCTGGAGGGACAGAAGCAGGATTTCTGTGATGGAGACACAGGTGGGTCCTGTGTGCGGAGGGCCAGGTGTGGGGACCGCTGGATGGTAAAGGCACCAGCAAGCAGATGCAGCTGTGTGGCACAGCAGGCCTGGTCTGGGTGGGTCAGATGGTCTACAGTGGGTGCCCTTACGTCTGGAGAAGCCTGGATGAGCGGGGCAGGTACTAGTGTCTCACCCAGGACTCTGTAGCCATCCTGGTCTCAGTACCGGGAGGAGATGCAGAGATAAACATCATTGGGCACAGCAAATCCAGGCATCATTGCACTCTGGGACCAAGGTGCCTCAGCAGAAGGACAGGACCAGGGTCTGAGCTATTGGAGGCTGAGTCCTGAAACTGCTGCTTTGTAGCAGCGTCACACAAGTCGCCCTAACCTCTGGGTGCTTTCCTGGTCGATGGGGCTGGAACCCAGCCTCACACGTGCTTGGCAAAGGGTCAACATGGGAGCCACCAAGGTGCCCCCGCCTTCAGGAGAGGGACAGCGCTGTGTGGTGAGGGCTGGTGCAGCTCCCTGTGGTCCCAAGCCCAGTGTGAGCTCCTTAGGGCAGGGCCCAGACCGCTTTCCTGGATCCCAAAGCTTGGTACTGTGTGGGCTCGGAACAAATATTGTCAGCTGAATGAACAAGATGAATGTGACAGGGATAAATGTCAGCTCCTCGTGAAGATCCTAGGGTGCAGCTGTCGGGAGGCGGTGGGAAGCGTCAGCACCAGCCTCCGGAGCGGAGCTGCATTGGGGCAGCCGGTGAACTTGGGGGTGCTGAGGCCATGGGAGCCCCGACCTGCCAGACCTGGAGAAGCTGGGGCACTGAGCCCGGCAGGGTCTCCAGGGCTGCTGTCCTGTTTGATTTCACTCACTGTGGCTTTCAGGGTTCGCTGGCTCTGCAGCCTCGGTTTCCTCATGTAAAACGTGCGAGCCGCAGGCTGGAGGTCACCGGGCTGTCGTTGGACATGGTCCCCCCGCCCTGCCCTGTCCCTCATGGGTTATTTCACCCCAGGGGACAGCTGGCAGCCAGGCAGTGCGTGGCGCGTGGCATCTCTGCCAATTTGGGGGGCTGGCCCAGGACCGCAGGGGTCGCTCCCCGCCTCCGCTCTGCCTCACAGCGCTCTGGTCCGCATCCTCGCCCCCTCCCTGCCTTGCTGTTTCCCATCGCCGTTCCCATCTCTGCGGAGGTCCCTGCCTCTTGCACAGCGCCCTCTGGTGGCTGTAGGGCGCCATGCTAGATTTTGCAGGGTCTCCACCAAGGGGGAGGAATGAGATATTTGAGCCTCCATCATCACAGGGAAAAAAACCACCTGTGGTACTCGTGGACAGGAGGACGTGCGACCCGCAGCGCCACGTCTGAGTGACACAAAGGCAGATGCAGTGGCTCTGAACGGGGAGCGTCCAGAGCAGGGACTGCCGCTGCAGGGTTGTGACAGGGTCGCCTGGGCTGGGGACGCCGCTGCTCCAGCGCAGTCTCTGCTTGAGGGTGAGGCAAGGTCTGGACGTGTGTGGTGACAGTCACAGCACTGCAGATGTACTTGGTGCCACCGGGTTGTATACTAGGTTAAATGACACACGGTATGCTGAGTGTACTTCACCTGAAGAAAACGTACCAAGAAAAATGCCAGTCCTGCTACTTAAAGGCCAAGTGACCTTGGTCAGGTCACTCAGTGTCTCTGGGCTTCAGTGCCCTCCTCCGGGAAGCAGGGGGCAGTAATGCCCACTTCACTCCCACCCCCAGTACACTGCTGTCTGCCCTGCCTCCTTGGCCACGAGGGCCTCCCCTGCGGTCTCCCGCTGCCCTGTGTCTCCCTGCCATCTTCCTCAGCTGAGCGGTCAGAGGATCAAGTCGTTCCTGTGGACACTGTCCCCTGTTTTCCTCTCCTGTTTTTCTGTCCCTTGGTGCGCAGCGTCTGGCCCTGCGCCCTCCCCTTTCCATGCTTTAGGCCACCCCAACCCCAAGGTGGCTCGCTGTCATTCTGTTCCATTCCACCTCCAGCCGTGGCTGGCCGGCCACGGTCCCTCGAAGCATTCTCTGGTCTCCGCTGCTGTTGGCGTCTGAGCCCAGGCGACACCTGCTCTTCCTGAGACACCACTCCTCCCGCCCAGCAGGTGCCGCCCGGCCCCCCAGGCTTATCGCTGCTGTCCTGTTTGATTTCCTTCATGGCAGCTGGCCTTCTCAGAAATGATCTTATCTTTATGAAACTGGATCACCCACCTGGCTGGATTTGTAGGGTGCAAGGCAGGAAGTAGTTTTATTTTCCTCCTACCACCATCTTCGTACTTCCTCTCCTGTTTTTCTCTTCCTCCTCTTGAAAATGTTTCAGCTTGTGTAGCTTTGCCAGTCTCTCCCAGGTATTAGACCCATTTCAGGCCTGAGGGATTCCTGCTCTCTGAAAGATATCCACTGAAGGGTTCAGATGCCATGGGTCATGATGTCCTACAATTGCTTTTAAGCATTTAACAAAATCCCGTAGAGCTGAAAGCTGGTCCTTAGTGTCCATTGTTCAGTACCCTTGTTTTCAACCGATCTATCAGAAGTATTTTTAAAGATTGCATTTGTACTGAACCTGTACAGACTTTCCTTGTCATTATTTCCTAAACAATACAGTATAAAAACTATCTATGTCCACTCACGATACTTTAAAAAGTACCCAGGACCAATCTAACCAAGGAGGTGAAGACTTTTACAGCGAAAATTTGAGTGCTGAAGAAATTGAGGAGCTGCCGAAGATGGAAGACCGCTCATGTCCGTGGATGGGCTAGGAAGACAGCTGTCAAAATGGCCACGTGGCCAAAGGAGACCTGCAGTTTCAGTGAAACCCTCAACAAATCACCAACATTCTTCACAGAACTAGAGGAAACAACCCCAAAATTCGTACGGAAGCACAGAGACCCAGAGTGGGCAGAGCAGCTGTCGGGATTGGTGGGCAGTGTCACACACCTGACCTTACACCACACCACACACTGCAGTATCAGGGACAGCATGGCACAGCACAGAAGCAGACGTGTGCACCAGCAGGACAGAGGGCAGGACAGAGACACAGACCCACGCGATGCGGCCCCCTGATCTGGACAGAGGCGTCTAAACCACGGTGGAGAGGAGACAGCCTCTGGTGGCCCTGGCTTGTCCCTCGCTTCCTCCCTTGTGCCCTCACTCCCTTCTTTTACTTCTTTCTTCCTTGTGGTGCTGCGGCCTGACCCTGGGGGCTCTCTACCACTGAGCTATATCCTTAACTTTTTTTTTATTTTTTGTTTTTGAGGCAGGGTCCATTAAGTTGTCCAGGTGGAACTTGAATGTGAGATCCTTCTGCCTCAGCCTTCCTCAGCACCAGGATGACAGGCCCGGCTTGCTCACGGACCTGCCTGTCTCTGTCTCTTTTGTCTTCTGTCCAGCTCGTGGTTTCTCCGGCCCCCTCAGACAACCAGGACGAGCTCCCCCTCTCAGAGCACTCAGTCAGGGGCACCTTCAGCATAGGGAGACGCTCACTGGCGCTGGGCAGCAGGACTCAGACGTGGGACTTTCCTCCATGGAGCGAAGTGTGCACACCCAGAGGCGTGCGTCCTCTTTTACCAGATTCAGCCCTGAGCCACAGTCCTCTGAGTTTCCATGTCGTTTGAGGAGAGTGCAGTCCCCAGGCTCCAAAACACGCCGTCGAGATACTTCCACAGGCTCAGAACCCTGTTCAACACGGATGAATTGATTTTTCACTGTGTGACAGGCAGCCCTGCACTCAGCAACTTGGAACAGCGCACTTTTGCTCATGCACAGTTGCTGTGGATTGGGATTCTGGACCTTGGAGAAAGCAGGAAGGAAGGAAGGGAGGGAGGGAAGGTGGGAGGGAGAGAGGAAGAGAGGGAGACTAGATAGAGAGATAGAGGAACAGACGGAGACAGAGGTACAGACCAGTATCTTGGAGACACCTTGTTTTCTGGTTGTGAGACCCAAGTCATTAAGTGGAGGCCCTGGGCAGAGGAGGGTGGCAGAAGGTACTGGTGCTCACTGGTACCTGCCAAGGACACCTTCCAGAATCCAACAGACATCAGACCCAGAATGAGTCAAATTACCCTTCAGGTTACTAGTGGATTTGTTTCCTAAGTCACGATAATAAATCTAAACATTGTAAAACCAGCACTGTGTTCCTCAAGCATCAGTGAAATGGACACCAAATGCCTCAGCAGGGTTGCACGGTCCCCACCTCCCTGTGCAGAAGGCACAGAGCAGTGAGTTATGTTTTGGGGCGTATGCAGCAGGGAGCCCACTGATTCATCCTGGAGGGGCCCTTTGGTTGGCCACGCTGTGTTCGGAGGGGAGGGCTGGTTTTGTGGGGTTTCTTTGTTTCGCTGTGCACACGGCTTGACCTCAGCCCCCACGGCTCCTGTGTTGGGAGCCTGGTCCCCAGGTGGAGCCCTGGGGAAGGTGCAGGGCCCTGAGGTGCGGGTCTGGTGGGATGACCCGCGGCACTCTGAGACACTGTCACCTGCCATAACAGTGCTCTATGGCCAAGTAAATGTCAGCACCATGAACCCTGAACAGTGCAAAGGAAATCTCTTCCTCGAAAGGCTGCCCAGCCATGGGAATTCCACTACAGTGACACTGAGCTGGTGACTGCAGGCCTCAGCTTCCTCTAGCAGTTGACTCTCCGTTTCCTAGGGCTGCTGCAGCTCAGCACTCCAAACCCTGTGGCTTTGTTTTATACACGTGGATCCAAGCATGTGAACTCTGAGCTGAAACTACTGTACTTGCCCTCCAAGCTGTGCTGGGGTTGGGGAGACGACAGCGAGTTGGCCAAGGTGCAGGTCGCTCCACCCTGGGGAGAGCTGGCCAAGGTGCAGGTCGCTCCACCCTGGGGAGAGCTGGCCAAGGTGCAGGTCTCTCCACTCTGGGGAGAGCTGGCCAAGGTGCAGGTTGCTCCACCAGGACCTCATGACCAAGCTTACTTTGGAGGATGACAGTTATCTTGCTTTCCACATTTCCCCTCAAGCAGCAGACAACTTTTCTGGTGACATCCAGGAAAGATAGACTCCAGATATCGTCAGTAGACTGGGATGATGTAAATCTCATTGGACTTAGGGGCCAAGGACATGGGCAGAGACGGTGACACGTCCAACATGACGGATGAGCCTAGGAGAGCACGGCACCCAGACTTCAGCCAGCACTCCTGTCCTCACAGATGAGGCTTCCAGATGGCTCTGCTAAATATAATAAGATGCTAATCAGGCAACAGACGTTTCTAATACTGTGAACACGCTGGTTCAGCACCATCATAATGACAGGACACCAGGAGAAGATGCTAAAAGAATACCACCCCCAGGCCCCAAAACCTACTTGATGTGACCAAGCTGAATAACAAAGACGGAAGTGAAGCGAACGAACCATGGCTGGGGTCTGAATTGCCTTGGAAGTCCTGTCCTAATTAGAATTCATTCCATTCATAGCTCGGATTGCTGAGCAGCTGCTGGGTTAAGGATTCTTCCACACGGGTTTCTGCCACCCCGAGTGCAGCCTGCACTCCCAGCCTCTCCCGCAGTGGCGTGGCCGGCTGGCTCCCTATGCCAATGCTTTCTGGACACTGGGATGTCAGCCAAGTCATGGCACAGTGTCTGCCCCTTGCTGCTTTGCCCTCACGCAGGGGGGTGGGGGCCTTGCATTCTTCACTGTTGGTTATCGGTGTCACATGTGCCATTTGAGGCAGTGTGCTCTCCGGCCAGCCCAGGGTGTCGTCCTCATTATCAGGGTTTGGGCCAATTCCCTGTCCCGCCTGTGTCCCACCCCCTGGGTGGAGGAAGTGCAAACAGGGAGCCAGCTTTGAGTCCCAGAGGCACAGGAGCACGCTCAACTGCTCTTTTCTGGGGGGCCTTGCTCTGCCATCCCGAACAACTGCACAAGGAGGAGAAGGAAAAGGGTCCCACGGGGTTGGGGTGACAGGGACAATAGCCATACTGGCAAAAGGGCCTCTATAGAGCCTATGGGAGGAGAAATCTCAACCATCCTTCCACTGCTGCCCTGGATTCTTACGTCTTCTTTAGTGAAAGGACTGACTGCTGATGTCAGAACTAAGGACAGAATAGCCGTGTCACTTAGTGTGTTGTTTGAATACATAGAACACACTCCCTGCATACCTGCAGGGCACCAAGCTGGGCTCAGAAAATCAGGTCCTTGCTTCTGTGGGGGTGCACATTAAGATGGAGGAGAAAGGGCCAGGTCAGGATGTTATAGGCAGCAAGTTAGGTAGAAATATTATAGTCAGTCAGACAGGAGCCAGCATGAAAGACAAAATAAGATACCTGTGGGCCAGACCTCTGGACAAAGGACTAAGCAAACACACCCTCTTACCTCCCTAGATGTGAACATCAGGGATTGATATTCTATTTTTTTTTTTATTTTTT